TTGGTTACCCCACGCTTGCTACAACAGTACCCACCACCACCACCCACCATCATTCTCATCCCATTTCCCCTGTCCCACAGGTCACCCGTCACCCGGTACCATGTCCCGGCAGCGCTGACATCACCCATCCACCACCACCACCACCCCCACCACCACCAGTGCCGGTGAAGAACCATGGGGAGCATCTACAAGGAATATTTTAACACCGAGAAGATCCGTGAACACTACAACTACACCAAAGACGGCTCGGAAACTTCACCCACCTCATCCCATGGAGTAGCTTCCATCCTCATCATCATCTTATGCTGCTTCATCATCTTGGAGAACCTTTTGGTCCTCATCTCTGTTTGTCGTAACCAAAAATTCCACTCGGCCATGTATATTTTTATTGGGAATTTGGCTTTTTCGGATCTTCTGGCCGGGTTGGCTTTTATGGTCAATATTTTACTTTCTGGTGCCACCACTTTTAACTTGACCCCGGTGGAATGGTTCATCCGTGAAGGAACGGCCTTCGCTACCTTAGCTGCCTCCGTCTTTAGCTTGTTGGCCATCGCCATCGAACGTCACGTTGCCATCACCAAAGTCAAAGTCTACGGTGGTGATAAGAACTACCGGATGGTTCTACTCATCGGTGCTTGTTGGGTCATCGCCGCCACCATTGGGAGTCTTCCCATCATGGGTTGGAATTGTATGAGTGATCTTCAAGATTGTTCTACAGTCCTTCCTCTCTACTCCAAACGTTACGTCCTCTTCGTCATCACCATCTTCACCTTCATCCTCCTCACCATCGTCGGGCTCTACACTCGGATCTATTGCATCGTCCGTTCCAGCCACGCCGATATCGCCACCGCTCAGACTTTGGCTTTGTTGAAGACTGTCACCATCGTCTTAGGAGCCTTCATCATCTGTTGGTTACCAGCCTTCATCATCCTCTTGTTGGATGCATCTTGTCCTACCAGATCTTGTCGGATTCTTTATAAAGCCAATTATTTCTTTGCCTTCGCCACCTTTAATTCGGCCGCCAACCCCATCATCTACACCTTGAGGAGCAAGGACATGAGGAGGGAATTCTTGAGGGTCTTGTGTTGTTGTGGAAGGAGAAGTCGAGATCAATCACCTCCTGGTTGTGGTTTCCCGCTCCGTACGTCCAGCTCCTCGGATCGTTGTAGCCCCAAATATGAGTTGCCCACTTCACCCATCACCCGAGAATGTACCACCTCTGTTTAGAGTGGAGTTGCTCCCTGGTTGGTTGCACCATGGTTGGTTGGTTGCCCCATGGTGACCCCATGGTTGGTTGCCCCATGGTTGTTGGTTGACCTATGGTTGGCGGCCCCATGATTGCCCCATGGTTGATTGCCCCATGGTTGCCTCATGGTTGGTTGCCCCATGGTTGTTGGTTGACCTATGGTTGGCGGCCCCATGATTGCCCCATGGTTGATTGCCCCATGGTTGCCTCATGGTTGGTTGCCCCATGGTTGGTTCCCCTATGGTTGGTTGCACCATGGTTGGTTGGTTGCCCCATGGTTGTTCCATGGTTGATTGCCCCATAGTTGCCCCATGGTTGGTTGCCCCATGGTTGGTTCCCCTATGGTTGGTTGCACCATGGTTGGTTGGTTGCCCCATGGTTGTTCCATGGTTGATTGCCCCATAGTTGCCCCATGGTTGGTTGCCCCATG